TTACCTGCAGCTAAGGGGAAATGGCTAAAACCCACCATAGTCCCCTTTTAAATAACGTATCAGCTTCTCTACAGTAGGAAGAAGGAGATGAGAGGAAGCACTCCATACTTCTGAGGTCTACGTTTCTTTTTCTTAATTCTGTACACCTAGAAAGCAGCTGACTAATATTTTACCATTTCATGCATATAACCATGATAGTAAAGAAAGTACAAACACCTAATCTGTAAAACCCATTCCCTGACTTCATTTCAAGTACAGTAATTCCCTCTGCATCTCCAAAATCCAAAAAACTTACCTTGTGCACACTGTAACTCACTCTAAGCTCTCGGTAGCTTTGCCTGGAGAATATGTAACTCACTGTAGCCCCTCCCACAAAGGGAATTGCAAATGGTTCTCTGGGAATGGAAATCTCCTATCTTTTAAGGAAATAAACCCGATTACGTCTGTATAGTTACTTCTCACCTACAGAAAATAAATTCCTGACTAGTGCTGACAATGCTGACAAATGGAAGATAGATGAGAGGTCATGATCAGTGGGAGCATCTGTGCTAGCACAAAATGCTATGCTTCCAATTTTCACTGCTTGGCAACCTGTTAGCTAAAAACAATTGTGATGGCTGAAAAGCTCACCCAGTTTAAAAGAATACTGTTGTCCCAGTCAGACTTTCAGCTAATCTTTGATGGGTTTTTACTTTTAACCGATTGCTGCTTTACATAAGTCACATCAACTAATTCTTCTGGAATCCTTCATAAGCTTCTATCCTGTGCTTAGGCATGGGAATATGCCTTCAGGACATTTCCACAGGATTTCATTCCTGGACATAGAAGGGGTTTTTCTTTTCTTTCTCTGTCCAAAATGTGTCCCAGAATTTGACTTGGTGAAAATGCTCACCAAAGGCAATGGTAGGAGACAGTGAATGAAGTACAGCATGAGAACGCAAACTGCCCTCTGCCCTCCTGATGCTTTTTGCTGACAACTGTATTGATTTCAAAAAGTCAATGCAGCATAAACTCCCATGAACCATCCTGCCTATCTAGCTGGTTGACACTGTTGCAGCCATCACCTGCAGTCAAGGTCAACATCCATATAAAATTCTGCTGAATTGCCCTGAGTGTAATTGCAAGTTGAGATACTGTTCCTGTGTTACACGTGCAGGTTGCATCAGTTGTACGGCTTCAAATAAAAAACCCCAGGTTGTGTATAGTACAGGTGGCTCTCTCCTTCAGGTTCTTCCTGTTCATGCACTTTGCTGCTCTGTAGCTGAAATGATCCTCACCCCATCAGTCTCCACCACTGGTACCTGAGAGACCAATGTATTCCATGGCTTGACATAAAAAGAAGCTTAACAATTTATTGAGAACTAGAACCACAGAAGGACAAGGCATCCAAATGGTCACCACTGCAATGGTCTATCTTTCTGTCTTATTTCCCTCTGTCCCCTTCTTACATTTGGCCAGGTTCTTCTCTCCAGCCTCTGAAAGTCTGCAGTGTGTCTGAGTCACCTATGCAGAGGTGTCCATGCCACTGTGCATGTTCCATGGCACCTGCTGGCTTCCAGCTGCTGCTCCAGAGTGGCCGGCTCTGGGTCCTGCGCTGTGGCACCATGGGCAGCCGTACTCCTCGGGGAGTCACAGAGAGCCCCAGGCCTCTCTGCTCTGGGCAGCAGAATCCCACTCCTGCCATTGCTATAGCAGCACAAGTATGCACACATTTTGTTTCCTGTTGACATCCAACTCAAAATAATTTGTTCATATTTTATAGGGAAACAGAACTCTGCACAGGAATGTTGTATTTGCTTGCTTGAGGAATAACTGCTTTCCTCTCTGGGCTTCTTGGAATGCAAATTTTGCCATTAGCAAAGTTTGCTTGAAGAGGAGCAGATCAAACTACACTGCTGGAAACAGTGTTTCCTGCAGTTTTGGAGTCAAATGTCTTAGGATCCAGCAGCTCAGATAATGTGAAAGAATGAAGCTTGTCCTGCATAGACCTGTGCACCAAGGGGCGTCTAGCAGCATTCCAAAACTCAAACTCACACTTAGCTGGATTAATAATCTGTAGGCTTGTCCCTAATGAACTCTTGAAGCAAAAGGCTTAATACCATTTGTCTCCTAATTTAGCAGGATTTTTTGAAATATCCCTTCACTGAGCTTGTAAAGTATTTTGGAAAATGCTGTTCTTCTGTTTTATCCCTACGAGGTTCATTTTCCAAATTTTTTGTCTAATTTTCTTTTTTCTATACTTACATCATGGCAATATTACGCATCAGATTTGTTTACCAGCATTGATTGGAACAAAGTTTCCTGCTATGCAAATGTTTCTCTACTGCATGAGGCCTCTTCATAAGGCTGTTATTCTGTGATCTATGTGTATGTAAGCCCTAATATTTTATTTGGAAGTCAGTGGAACCTGAATCGCTGTTGCTGTCCTAAATGTGTAGAAAGAAACCACCTCTGCCTTACCTGGCTCTACAAAACAGATTGCATGTTTCTTCCATTATACTTTGTTCAAGTGAATTTCTGGTAGGATCATACACAGGGTTTGAAATAATTGATTTATGAAGAAAAATAATCAGTTTTGCAAGGAAAACATTAGACATATCTTTAAAAATCCAATTTGCCCACAAGCCTTAAAGATGTTATCCTTAAATAAAAGTCTACTTCTTTAAAAGATAAGTGATGCATTGAGTCTTCTCTTCTTTAGCTCTTATTCTGAAGTTTATTTGCATGCAGAAAAAATCTTCACCAAGTTCCATTCTGACAACAGTAACAATGCATTGATCTTTTTTGAAATTAATAAATTCCATACCCTACAAATAGTTCTCTACTTCCATACTGCTTTATTTTCATATTTTGCTAAACATTTGATATATCAATAAAGACAAAGCTGCTATCAAATTGCCAGAGTAACAGACACTTTATTTCTGGTTGGGGTTGCTTTGGTTTTTTAGCACTGTTTTTTAATACCACAATACTAATTTACTGCACTGGGGTTGATATTTTGCGCCCACCCCCCACCACCACCCCTTTTTTTTTTTTCCCCCCTCTCTCTCTCCAGTATTCTGGGTCTCACCAAAAGTGGCAAGGCTTTCATCTCTTAAAAACCTTCAACACAGTTTCTACGTAATGGTCATCTGGTGGGGGTTTCCTTGGGCTGCCAGGCTGCAGGAACTTCTTAATTGTAGGCATATTGCTCATTTTGGTTTTAAATGCCTAAAAATAAATAAATAAATAAATAAATAATAATAAAAAAACCCAAACAACACACAGAGTAAGACAGAAATTCCAGCACACAAAAACGTGATTTACACATCACAGGGAGATGATCAGTTCAGGACTTCCCTGTAGCTCCTGAATATATGCATGCTCAGTAACAAAGTTACCTGCAACTGAGGAAATCCCGACAGCACAGCAGGAATTTTCTCCTCCACTGCTAAAATTGCTTCAATCAGTTGAACATCCGCCCAGCTGAATTTGTTGCCCACGAGAAAGTCTTGGCCATGTTGTTTCAAAACCTGGAGAACACAGGAGAATGTGGGCTGCAGATGAGAATGGGACATATGTTGCCTGGCAGCTAAGCCTCACAGCACAGCTGTAGAGCTGAACAGCATTTAGATCTGAAATTTCAGGGTGGAGTTTTCAGCTGGAAGATGTGAGCCTAAATCAATTCTCTATTGTTGGGGGGAAAAAAATGAGCTCTTGTTCTTTTCATGTTCTAGTACACAGACTACAAAATCTGGTCACTCTGTAATGAGGAATGATGATAGATACTGAGAACAGAGACAAAAATCATATGTTTAAGTAGCCCAATAAGAGTCATAGAATTAAAAATAGGGATAATTGAGGAACTAAGGAGAAACTTAGAGAATTTATAAAACTGCCATTTAGGTATTTCATTTAAAGTTATGTCCAATGTTGATACCAGAAAGAAAACTTGGAAATGCAAAATTACAAAGCTAATCAAGAAAAATCCCTGCCTTTGGGAACAGGTTATGATAGTCATAAGAACTTCTATGATGTTCATCTTTTATTATTGTTTTCCATCAAAATTAGGTGAATGTTACCAAAGTGGGAAATGTTGCCAGATGCATGAATCATGTGGGTTTGGTTTGTTGTTTTTGGAAGTGGGATGTGCAGAAAGCTATGACTATGTTTTACAAAAGTACTCCTAGTCTGTCTATCTGATTTATTTGCAAGGCATTTTTGCATTCTTCCAAATAAACTGTTCCAAATTAAATTAAGTATAGCAGAGAGATATGCTCTAAACAAGTATAAGTATAGAACTATTTCTTCAAGGAAAAAAAAAATCATGTGTGCTTGCTACTTCAGTGACAAGAACATATTGCTTTGTTTCCTTTGTAGATGTTCAAATACCATAGCCTTGACAACACAAGCCAACAAATAGAGGAAAACATGCTGCTGTATTTCCCCTTCTCTGAGACAGCCAAGAAAGCTGAGGATTTGGAACTGACCTGCATTACAGACATGTTCTTATTTTGAACAAACTTTTTTATAATGTAAATACAATATGTATAAACACATCCTTGTTTTCACTTACCTTTTCAAAGACTGGAAAGTATCTGTTAGTTGCCCTCTCCTTAATTGAGTCAAGATTTTTCTCCTTTGCGTCAGGTGGAGAGAAAGGAAACATCAGAATCATTTGCATCAGATCTGATATTCCTTCCACATACATGTCAATCCTATTGATCAGGAAGAGACAGTAGAAAAGAGCACAAAAGTTATTTTATCTGTTTTCCAATTAACTGAGGCAACCTAAAGGAATTTTATACCACCAATATAGTGCCAATTTTCACAGCCAATAAACACAAAGTAAACCTAAATATTTTTCAGAAACAATAAAAGCCTACTTCTATTTAGAAGCATTTCAGAAGCAGTTGTTAAAACATATCATGTTAGCCTTTCTCATACCTTTATACTGGATTTACAGGATAGAATTTGGTTTATATAATGTAGCTATCAGATAACAGATTGCTTATTAAGTGAAAGGCAGTGTTACGTACAGGGCTCTCTCCTTCAAGTCTTTCCCATAGAGATTGTATTTCCCTGCTATGTAGCTGAGGATGGCTCTGGTCTGCACCATCTTCATCCCATCGATCTCAACGAGAGGCACTTGCTGGAACAGCAGGAGTCCATCTAGGGTAGAGTTAGCGTGTTAGTTCCTCCTCACTGCAAGCTGGACAGGAGAGCAAGAGACTGAGCACATTTCTCTTGGAGTGTAGGAGACCACTGATGTCTTGCCCTAACTGTAAAACTCCAGGCAGTAAAGTAACATTGTGGGAAAGATCAAATAGCCTGTATCACACTTCTGTAGCTAGGTCACTGCAGTGCAGCTGGGC